TATATATATATATAAATTATATATGTTAGCTATACTAATACTGTTATAATATAGGAATTCGTGACTGTATGATGAAAATGTATAAGACTGAAGGATTACCAGCATTTTGGAAGGGGATACTACCTCCGATAGTTGTAGAAACTCCTAAACGCGCGGTCAAAGTGAGTTGCTCGTCCATTGCTTAACGTCCAAGCATAGTAGAATGCTTTTCGTCTCCTTTTACACATTATATTCTTTTTACACATTATATTCTTTTACACATTATATTCTTTTTAGTTCTTTACATTCGAGCAATATAAACAGTTCTTCTTATTTGGCGCTAGTGCACCCACTCCATTGGTAATTACTGCAGTGTAATTGTCACTCTATAAACTTAACGACAAAGTATACACAAGTTTATATTATTACAGACATTTTCGTGTGCCGGTTTCTTCGCTGGTATGACAGAGGCTATATTAGTAAATCCTTTCGAGGTTGTCAAAGTAAAACTGCAATCTAATCGAAAGCACGTCAAAGAGAGCCCGTCAACGTTTGCAGTAACGAGAGAAATTGTATCAAAATACGGTTTGGGTTTAAATGGCTTGAACAAGGGACTGTCAGCCACTATAATGAGAAATGCTGTATTCAATTCATTCTATTTCGGTTTTTATCATTCTGTCAAGGGATACATACCGGTCAGAGAAGAACCTTGGTTGGAATTTTTAACTAAAGTACGTCAGAATCATAATAAGGCAGTCTGAACATATCGCAGCAGCGCATTAATTTTTTTTGGTGTTGTACACATTGAAAACTTTCTAGGTTGCTGTAGGATTTGTGTCTGGTTCAGTTGCCTCATGTTTGAATATACCGTTCGATGTCGCTAAAAGTCGCATTCAAGGTTCGCAGGGTGACACACAGTATAGAGGAACACTGAACACTATGCATATTGTTTACAAGACGGAAGGGTATTTATTTTGATTTATTTACATATACAGATTTACTCACATGGTTTCGCTGACTCATGTGTTATTTTGCATTATCTCAGATTTAGAGCCTTGTACAAAGGTTTGCTGCCAAAAGTATTGAGATTAGGTCCAGGTGGTGCTATTATGCTTGTCGTATATGACTACATGCACACATATCTTACGAAGAAATTCAAAGAATAATTTTTATATCATACTTGAAGAAACTGTGAGCTGTAGCTATAAGAGCACAAGTTATTCTGTCCAAGAAGATGCATTTCCTACACACATATATACACAAAACCAAATGAAAATTTATATAATTTTATAACTGTATAAAAATATGACTCTTTATATATTATACGTTATGTCTAGATGTTTCTTTAACAATCTTTCCTTTATATCAGGTAAACAATACACTTTATTTCTTTCCTATGCACAGAAAAATAATAATTAATCATCCAAAACAGAATCTAACCATTTCTCTAAGTCTAATGGTTTGGCTGGAATATTCTTTGACTTTGGTTTAGAATCTGCAACAAGTTATGACATAAAGTTATATAGTAGAATATTAAAGAAGTATCTCAACAGAATGTCAAAGTACTATTTTCTGCTAGAAATCTTACCATTATTGGAACACATAGAAGCGGAAGGTATACTAAAAGTCTGTGTGATCTTTAATAAATTCTTTTCAACAGGTTCGTCCAAAGACAATAAAAAATCTATGTCATCTTCTAAGTTATTTTGATCCTTCAACAGAGATCTCGTGTTTTCCAGCGATTCCAGTCGCTCTGTACTCGTATCCTCGTTCATCTCATTTTCCGTAAGTACAGTATTTGACGAACTCGACGTCTTCGCAATATTCAGAATGCAGTTATAAGCTGCTTTGCTTTCATCCGCTTTATTACAGATACTCGTCAGTTGATCGCTCTAAAATTGATCGTACATAGAGATCGTGTGTTTTGATCGTGAGCAAGCGTGTATGTTTCTTTCGAGGTACTTACTGTGAAGTACCTATCCTCCACATCGACGTACTCGTTGAAGGGAATACTATCGAGCGCGTGCGACAGTGTGTTCAGGTTCAAGGTGAAAAATTCCGAGTATTCCGAGGAAAAGTCGACGGGGGACCAGTCTTTTTCCGATTTGAAGACAAAATACCCGCCTTTCGAGAGCGGCGCGTCTATGAGTGAGCCGAAATCTTTGCCGACGTCCTCGTCGTCCGTCAACTCCGTCGCGTAGTCGGCGTAAGACGATGAAGGTTGCTGCAGATTCTTTTTTACGTTCATCTTTTTCCCCTTCATTCTCGCTACGATTTAGACGATGTCGACCACATCTCGTTCGGCACCGTTTCGATCCGTATATTTCGCTGACCAGATAATAATATTAGCCGCATTTATGCCTGTTTTACAATATGTCGAATGTCGCCGGAACGCAGTCGATGGTCCAATGAGTACCGGCCTAGATGGTGCATCGAGTGCACTGCGACATAGAGGGCGTATTTATTCCAGACGTTTAACTACAACATAGGATCCGTTTTCTATTGCTGTACTGGCTGCACTAGTTTGCACTTATTCTCTTTTCCTCTTTTTTTCCATCAAACTTCAAGAAAAAGAGGAAAAAAGAACTAGTGCAGCAATAGAAAAGAGCTATTGTTTTCATTCAAAATATCGATTTTCTCAGTCCTTGAAGGTGGATGTGATATTATCAATCACATTTTGGCGCGAATACCACACATTTGAATGTCAGGGCAATATTCATGGTAAGAATAGTCAAATTTTATATTCAAGATCGTCTTAAATTCATCATCAGATGTTTCGTAGCCCATAAAATGAGTCTTACAGCGAATATATTTAACAAAGATGAACTTAAGACGATCGCAAGTAAAATTTACAACAGAACGAAGCTTTTTTTTTTGGAGGAAACCGAGGTCTCAGAATGGTAGAGGGAAGGGATGACCAAAAAGGTATACGAACTTTTATTTATTCTCACACAAAAAAAATATATATATGTATATATATGTATGTATGTATATATATGTACATGCATCTGCGACATGCAACAACAAACCAATTGATAAAGAATATGATCGATTTAAACCGTCGGGAGCACCTTTCGCTCGTCGCTATTTGTAAAAGATTTTCGATGCTTCTTGAACGTTTTCGTACATGGCCGATCAGGTTCACCCCCAATCAAACGACTCGTCCCGGTCGGGAGCCTGACGATCAACGATTCTGACTATCTTGAGGCTTGCATTACTGAGTGCTTGAAGTTCTCTTCTAAGCTTGAGACTTCTCAGCCGGAAATGAATGCGGAATTCGGATCATATTCTTTGTCACAAGCGCGAGAAAACCTTCGGGTTCTTGAGAATGTGAACAAGATAAACGTGTTCTTCAGATATCTTGTCTTCAATTTTTCAAAACTCATTTTTTCAGAGTGAAACTTCAAACTTCCCTCTATCATCCAATACCTCTTGATTCAAAACCTTATAAACAAACAAACAGGTTAGAGAACGTATTTCTATTTTTAGATAAAATATTATTTCTGTCTTTTTTGTTTCTATTTATATATATATATATATCAATTTCTTTCAAGAGACTGTGGAAAGTGTTACAACAATTTTCTCTGATTCTTTTCAGCTTATGGCTGAAATGCCGCAAGCTGAGAGCTAATGTCATCTATTTATTGAAATTGCCAAAGTATGCGTAACGCTCAACAATATTCCAACCTTCACAATATGCAACTAAATATTCTATTACACAATTTAAATCTTATCTTGATTATCAATTATCATTAACATGTAAGTACAAATAAGTAACATGGACTTGTGAAAATAAGGTTTCGCATCCATTCAAACCTTGCTTCAACCTTGGCTATCATTAATAAAATCATCAAAGTGATAATATACAACGTTAAATATTGGTATGCAGATCGCCATAGAAGGATAAGGTAAAAAATAAGGTAAGAATAGCAATGCGAATATATCGTTTCTATGTTTCTCTTTTTTTTTGACCCGGTATCGATCGAGAAAAGAAATATTCGGGTTATGTCAGAAATGGATCTCCACCTGGCCTGTCGCGTCACGCTCGTGTCATTTAATACCGACCTGAAAAATTCATTAAGCAACAAAAAACTATGACAGTTTGACCCAGGTTAGGCAGATTAGCGCTTAGTTACTATCGTATGACTTATCAGAAGCATATCTTGAAACTTCCCTTTGCTATTTTTGCTAACTTATGCGCTTGCTTCTTCAATTTTACATTAATTACATTTAGGCTAGAAATATAAGCAGTCTACTGTTATGCAACGTGTATCAAGTTCGAAGTCCTTGCGTAAAAGTAAAACGTAAAAGTACGAGTTGAGAACAAAAAGACACATTGCGCTTTCATGCGACAACTCGTGAGAGAAAATATCGGTGTTTTTCGATGGATTACAATTCTACACTAAGAAGTCTCTACTCAGCACGCTTACACAACGTTCCACACATACAGTTCTAATAAGGGAATTATCCTGTATTTATGTAGACTGTTTATATTATTGTGCCACGAATCAGCTATAGAAGACTACACTTACGTGGCGTATAAGAGCGTGATCTGGAACGATCGTAACGAGAACGCCGACGGCTGTAGTGCGGACTGGGTGAGCGACGGCAATTTCCTCTGTAGTTATTTCTGATTTTGCACCGGGTGCGGGTGAAACGATCGAAAACAAGTTAGAATTGAAACCAGAGTCGGTTCGAGAAGCCGTACAAGGCTTTATTTCGATACTTACTCTCTACGTCTGGACCCATCCCCGCTTTTGTCGTGCAAATGCGTAGGTTTTCCCATGTATATTCCCGGAGTGGGAGTGTGAGCACGCTTTGTGATTGAGAAATCTACTCTTATTAGTCTGCCATCGATATCCATTCCAGTGCAATGCTCTTTCGCCACCTTGGCATCCTCCGATGATTCAAAATATACGAAGCAAAATCCTCGCGATCGACCAGTCTACAATGGAAGTATTTCACGTATATTATTATTAGCAAATCAATTCTAACGTATATTATTTAGCAATATAACAATGATGGGTAACATATAGTTGTATATAGCCAGATGCCTTTAACGTGTCATATAAATCTCAAATATAAACGTTCTAAATTTCTGGCGCTTATTATCCCCACAATATTCAAATATAATCGTTCATGATAAATGCATGGATCATAAATGCTAATGGGGTGCAAAGCGGATCATTTGTTGCAATACTAAAATCTGTTCGTTTTGTGCCGGACTGGCTGTACTAGCTCTCTTGTATTAGAGTTTCTTTTTCTCTACCAAAGTCTTGACTATAGATCAATTTTTTTTCATGCTGTATAAGCGTACATTTCATCATCGTCCATGGCACAACATCTCATATGTCTGAGACTAGGCCTACTTTTCTCTTCCTTACATATACATGTGGTGCGCACACAAGATTGTACACATGCATATGGGACTTACAGTTTAACACCGTTTCCGAACGGTAAAAGTTGGAGAGAAGTTTTCTTGGCAAGAGATTACTCTTGGTGGTTTGCCGGGCCACCGAAGAGGAGCTACGAGCGTAAGAAAAATTTTCTGTTTCTGCCGGGGAGCGAACCCGGGACCACCTCTAGCATAGTAGACTAGTGCGCTGTCTACCATACCACACTCGCGCTCATAAGTGTACACTAGTTCGGTGAAAAAAAACCTACTATATTATACATAACCAAACATAAAAAAGCATATATATGAACAAACATAAAATTTACATACCTTTGCATCGATAACAACCTGAACTTGCTCTACCGGGCCATATTTTGAGAATATGTTACGTATTTGCTGTTCTGTGGTGAAAATAGACATTCCAAATACACCTAGACATCTGGAAGGGCTGGGATTGTTGCGGTCACCGACGTGTCTTCGCCTGGACGACATCGGACTTCGGGAACGCGACCGATACACGACTCGCTCATTGGAATATCGAGATCGCGAGTACGAGCGAGATCTACTGTGTGAGTAACGACCGCCTCTGTACGGAGAACGGCTACGACTGCGGCTGCTGTCGTGGTGACCAACCCTGGCATACTTGCTGTCACGATACGATTTGCGGCCACGTGATACAGAACGACTGCGTGATCTCGAATACTTGACAACTCTGTGCGAGCCTTTGCGTTCGTGTGACTTTCGTGATCTGGAATATGATCGTGTGTCTCTTATGCCACCATCCGCGGTCTTTGGTCTCCGAGGACTCGCGCTGCGACTAGCACTTCTCTGTAAATAACAAGCAAGCGTCATTGTAAAATACCATTCTTCTTAACTCAAGCAACACGTGATAGTTAATTCTTATCTAGTTCCGCGTAAAAATCTAAATACAAGCGACGTTCGTTTCATATTCGTACGAAGTACAAAATCCGTCGCGCAATACTTTCGTTGAAAGAGAGATTACAGATCTGGATAACATTCCGGTATGCTATCAAATACAGGAGATGTTGGCAATCGGCGGTCTCACACACTTATGGCATTTTCGACTTGCTGACTCGGCCTGACTCGAGCGGCGTTCCGCTAATCTTTGCAGTACTGGAACCTACAGCTCAAGTTACGTATACTATAGTTTGCAATACCGTAGCGATTAGTGGAACGTTGAACGTACACTCAGTATCACTGATTCGTCCCGAACTAGATTTAAGCCTGTTTTACAATACGTCGGATGTCGGAACGCAGTCGATGGTCCAATGAGGAGAACTCACTTTCGAAAAATAAATCATCTCATTGGACCATCGGCTGCGTTCCGACATCCGACGTATTGTAGAAAGGGCTTTAGTGGGCGAAATTTATATGTTGGCTACCTTGTTCCATCCAACAGATCATGACGTAGGAGTTATATACAGGGTGTCGCGAAATGTATGTAATAATATAAAAACATCGTGTAATGCTCTTATAATATATATTAATACAAACATTTGTGACACGACCCACTCTGCTGTGGCTAATTATATGCGGTAACGTGAACATAAAAGTAAATATATGAGACAAAACAAAAATTGTAATATATACATGCCTCATCACATACCTCAGTTACTGCAGAATGCACGTTTACGAGGATAATATTAATCACTGCACATTGGTCCACCGATGCATTTACAAAATACAATGAATTTAGTTTTAAAATTTCTCTATGTTTGCTCACCATTCTACATACAAAAATGTTAAAATGATATTGAAAAAAGAAACATTTTCAGATATTCATATCTTGTAATGAAAAATATCAAATTGAAAAAATAAAATAAGTCTAAAAATATTCATATTTAGATAACCTTGCCCAAGTAGTATTATACGTATAATGTAAATTATAAAATAATTCTAAAGGATGATAGATCAGGTCATAGTACGGAAGACAAAACGTGAGATACCTCATAAAACATAAGGTATGTTTATTGGACTTAGCAGTAGATTTTTTTAGATATAAAATAACGGTCACTTTCTCTCTCTCAATGTATTAAATACGACGCATCATACACATTTAACGTGAAAAAAGGAAGAAATCGGTGTGTATGGTAGAAACAACATTTATTGGTGAAATGCTACGATAAAGTTTGATTAATCGGTTCCAAGTAAAACTTAAAATAGAAGGAAGCTTTTTTTTGGAGGAAACAGAGGTCTCAGGATGGTGGAGGGAGGGGATGGCGAAAAAGGTATACGAACTTTTATTTATTCTCACATAGAATATTATATATATGTATGTATATATATATATATGTATATGCATCTGCCTAAAGCGAATGTTGGCATGCAACAACAAACCAATTGATAAAGAATATGATCGGTTTAAACCTTCGGGAGCACCTTTCGCTCGTCGCTATTTGCAAAAGATTTTCGATGCTTCTTGAACGTTTTCGTAAATGTTCGGACAGTTTCACCCCCAACCAAACGACTCATCCCGGTCGGGGACCTGACGATTAACGATTCTGACTGACTTCTTGAGGCTTGCATTACTGAGCGCTTGAAGTTCTCTTCTAGGCTTGAGACTTCTCAGCCGGAAATGAATGCGGAATTCGGATCATATTCTTTGTCACAAGCGCGAGAAAACCTTCGGGTTCTTGACAATGTGAGCAAGATAAACGTGTTCTTCGGATATCTTGTCTTCGATTTTTCAAAACTCATTTTTTCAGAGTGAAACTTCAAACTTCCCTCTATCATCCAATACCTCTTGATTCAAAACCTTATAAACAAACAAACAGGTTAGAGAACATACTTCTATCTTTAGGTACAGTATTATTATTTTTGTTTTTTTCCATTTTGTCCTTTTTTGTTTTTATTTATTTATATATATCATTTTCTTTTTTCGAGAGACTATAAGAAATGTTCTAACAATTTTTTTTTTCAGATTCTTTTCAACATATGGCTGAAATACAGCAAGCTGAGAGCTAATATCGTCTAGCTATTCAAATTGCCAAATTATTCGTAACGCTCATCTGTATTCCAACCTTCACAGTATACAGCTAAATATTTTGTTATATAATTAAAACCTTATCTTCATAATTATCATTAGTATAAGTAATATGGATTAAATCTTAAATTAAATTAAATGAAAATAAGGTTTCGCGTCCATTCAAACCTTGCTCTAACCTTGACTACCGTTAATAAAATCATCAATTGATATTATGCAACGTTAAATATTGGTACGCAGATCGGTATAGAATGTAAGGTAAAAAGTAAGGTAAGAATAGCAATGCGAATGTATCATTTCTATGTCTCTCTTTTTTTGACCCGGTATCGATCGAGAGAAGAAATATTCGGGTCATGTCAGAAATGGATCTCCACCTGGCCTGTCGCGTCACACTCGTGTCACTTAATACCGACCTGAAAAATTCATTAAGCAACAAAAAACTATGATAGTTTGACCCAGGTTAGGCAGAGTAGCGCTTAGTTACTACCGTATGACTTATCAGATGCATATCTTCAGTCTCCCATCTGCCATTCTCGCTAATTTATGTACTTACTTCGTCTTCAATTTTACATTAACCACATTTGGACTAGAAATATAAGCGGTCTACGAAAATATGAATCCAACGGAATATTGTGGCGCGAATCGTTCGAGAATTCTTTCCAATGCAAGGGATACGATGTATGCATTAAAAATCATCTCTTTTGAAATCTGCAGCACGCAATATCGATATCGATTCCTGCGCATCTTATACGACGTATATTTAGTTTGAAGATCTTACGTTCTCACTCGAATTACTCTTTACCTAATTTACTACTTAACCACTTTTAGACTTTCCACACTTATCTTCGATTATCTAACGAAGTAACATACACGATGAAACGCGACAGGATATCCGTAAATATTACGGACACAAATTGCGCCTCCCTACAAATATCAAAACGTATCATTTGCGAGATTCATTATGGCGCGTATATCAAGTTATCATCCCACTGTCACGCGAGAAACATTTCGAAGCCACGGATATATACTGAGGAAACAATATACAAAGTGTAACGCAAAAGTTCGAGTTGAGAACAAAAGGACACATTACGCTCTTGTGTGATTTGTGAGAGAAAATATTCGAATTTTCTAACGGACAACTTACAATTCAGCACTCTGGAGGGTTCAAAACGCCTACATGCGTTCCTCAGAGTTCTGATACATGAATTACGCCATATCCATGTAGACTGCTTATATTATTGCGCTATGAATCAGCTACAGAAAACTATACTTACGTGGTGTATAAGAGCGTGATCTGGAACGATCGTAGCGAGAACGCCGACGGCTGTAGTATGGGCTGGGTGAGCGACGATAGCTTCCTCTGTAGCTAATTCTGATTTTTCACCGAGTGCGGATGAAACAAACGAAAACAAGTTAAAATTGTCACCGTAATCGGTTAGAGTAGCCGTTCAAGGATTATTTCGATACTTACTCTCTACGTCTGGGCCCATCCCAATTTCTGTCGTGCAAATGCGTAGGCTTTCCCATGTATATTCCTGGCGTAGGAGTGTGAGCACGCTGTGTGATCGAAAAATCTACTCTTATTCGTCTGCCATCAATGTCCATTCCAGTGCATTGTTCCTTTGCCACTTTGGCATCCTCCGATGACTCGAAATATACGAAGCAAAATCCTCGCGATCGACCAGTCTGCAACGGAAATATTTCACGTATATTATTATCAGCAAATCAATTCCAACGCGTATTATTCAGCAACATAGTGATGGGTAACATATAATATAATTGTGTAGCTAAATGCCTTTAACGTATCACATGAATCTCAAGTATAAACGTTCTAAATGTCTGGCGTTTAATAAACCCACAATATTTTGATGTAATCGTGCATGATAAATGCGCGATTCTAAGTATTAATTGGGACGCAATAGCACATGATTTGATGCAATTCTAGGTCTGTTTTTTTTTTTTTTCGTTAAACTGACTTCACTATCTTGTACTAGATCTTTTTTTCCTCTTTCTTCCACCAAGTCTTAATTGTATATGTATCTTTTTAAGTTCTTCAAGTTCCACAAGTGAATATTAGTTGAGCGAAAAAGAACAAACCTACTGCATCATACATAACCAAGCATAAACAACGTAAACAAACATATGTAATCTGTTCTTTATAGCTGCATTGCTGAACTGGTGCAATAAGTTGAAGCAAGACAAATATATATTCCCTCACCTCAGCTCATCGCATCAGTTCAACAGTGCAGCTTCGAAGAACAGACCAATAAAATATCTACGTACCTTTGCATCGATAACAACCTGAACTCGCTCTACAGGGCCATACTTTGAAAATATATGATGGATTTGCTGTTCTGTGGTGAAAATGGACAATCCAAAGACACCAAGGCATCTGCAGGGATTAGGATTGTCGCGGCTGCCAACGTGTCTTCGTCTAGACGACATTGGACTACGGGAATGTGACCGATACACATGCCGGTCGCGAGAATATCGAGATCGTGAATACGAACGGGATCTACTGCGTGAGTAACGACCACCTCTGTACGGAGAACGACTGCGACTGCGGCTGCTACCGCGGTGGCCAACCCCGGTATACTTGCTGCCACGATAGGACTTACGGCCACGTGACACGGAACGACTGCGTGATCTTGAATATTTGACGTCTCTGTGCGAGTCCTTGCGTTCGCGCGACTTTCGTGATCTCGAGTGTGATCGTGAGTCTCTTAGACCACCATCCGCGGTCCTCGGTCTCCGGGGACTCGCGCTGCGACTACCGCTCCTCTGTAAATTACAAAGCAAGCGTCGTTGTAGAATGCCATTCTTCTTAGATCGAACAACACGCGATAATTAATTCTGATCTAGTTCCGCATAAAAATCTAAATACTAGCGACGTTCGTTTCATATTTGCACGAAGTAGAAGATCCGTCTCGCGATACTCTCGCAGCAAGGGGAAAAACGGTCGGTGATCAATTATTCATAAACGGCTGACACGCGGAAAGTGAATGAGTCGGTGCGAAGAACAAATGAAAGGGGGGACGTGGTGACCGATGAATGGGTATCCTAGAGCGACGGTCGAGTTACAGAAATGTTCGCCGTTTTTTTTAACCGGCCTAATTATAGCCGAGATTAAAGCAGCGGGGCGGTAAGCTAAAATGTAACCGCGGAGATGTACATGGTAGCGTGATAATATAATCCAACGGCGTTGCTGGATCGATAATGGCGTTGGTGTTGAGACGATGCATGGTCAAAAGTCGCTCAACAGGATCGCCGTCGCCACGTGCGACGGCATTCGCGGTCTCGCGTCCGGATATAGTAATCACACTCACCTCGATATCGCTCATCCTGAGATTCCCTGAGTGCTAATACATGGAAGCGGACGGTAAGGAACGACAGAAAACACTCCACTATCTCGCGTTTCGTGTTATTAGTTGGTATGTTGTACGATATGATATGATGTGCCCTACGCGGAAACGCCGGGCCCGTGCAAAGTGCAGCGCGCAATACACAAATGAGTGCCGCGGCATCCGACGTTGCTGCGAAACCGGCTTCTTCGGTTTGTTCTTTTTAGTTTAACTGGCTGCACTATTTCGAGAAGTTTACACACCACGAAGCGGGCTCTATAATCAGAATGCACAGCTTGACGGAAAGCAGAAAAGCAGCAGCCAAGCAAAACTCGCGCTAGTTTCTGCTTTATCTACTATTTTATCTAGCTTACTCGCCAGCGCGAGTTCTGATTGGCTGCTGCTTTTCTGTCAAGATGTGAGCTCTCCCTCAGAATTTAAGGCGTAAAATTGAAGAAAATCGAACATTTCTGCAACGGCATTTTTCAGATACAGTGAACGCGAAAATACTTTCCGGCATTCACTGCCAACACTTTGAATCTATAGATACGTAATGCCCGTGTCACACTACAGATTAGATTTGAGATTGGCGAATCAGAACAAAATTCGTTAGACTCAAGTTTAGTTAAACTTGCTCTGATTGGTCAAATTTTAATTCAATTCTAACCCGTAGTGTAAAATGGACATAATATAATCAGTAGATTCTCAGTATTATTATTAGTGAATATCGGAATGTACTTTAGCATTTATCATATCTGAAAAGCGGTATTGCAAAAACTTCCTAATAACGTTTTTTCGTTTTAGATAAATTAATATTGCACTGGAACTTCTTCCCTTTTTTCTTCACCGCTAAGTTACTTGTTTCACTCTAAGAACAAAAAGTATAATCTAATTTGGCTATGAACGTACAAACATAAAATCATTCTAAAAGATAATACATCATAGTTCGGAAGATAAAACGTGCGGTATCTGACATAAAAATAGTATTAGTTTATTAGTTTTAAAAGTAGATTCTTTTAGATATAATGGTCACATTTGCTCTCTCTCTCTCTTAATGTATCAAATACGACATTTAAATTGCAATTTCAGGCGAAAAAGGAAAGAAATTGGTCTGCATGGTAGAAACAATATTTATTGATGAAATGCTACTAATAAAGTTTGATTAATCAATCCTTAGCAAAATTTAAAACAGAATAAAGCTTTCTGGAGGAAACAGAAGTCTCAGGATGGCGGAGGGAGGGGATGGCGAACTTTTATTTATTCTCACACAGAATATATATATGTATGTATATATGTGTATGCATCTAAAGCGAACGTTGGCATGCAACAAACTAATTGATAAAGAATATGATCGGTTTAAACCTTCGGGAGCACCTTTCGCTCGTCGCTATTTGCAAAAGATTTTCGATGCTTCTTGAACGTTTTCGTAAATGTTCGGCCAAGTTTCACCTCCAACCAAACGACTCGTCCCGGTCGGGGTCTGACGATCAACGATTCTGACTGACTTCTTGAGGCTTGCATTACTGAGCGCTTGAAGTTCTCTTCTAGGCTTGAGACTTCTCAGCCGGAAATGAATGCGGAATTCGGATCATATTCTTTGTCACAAGCGCGAGAAAACCTTCGGGTTCTTGACAATGTGAGCAAGATAAACGTGTTCTTCGGATATCTTGTCTTCGATTTTTCAAAACTCATTTTTTCAGAGTGAAACTTCAAACTTCCCTTTATCATCCAATACCTCTTGATTCAAAACCTTATAAACAAACAAACAGGTTAGAGAACATACTTCTATCTTTAGGTACAGTATTATTATTTTTGTTTTTTTCCCATTTTGTCCTTCTTTCTTTTATTTATTTATATATATCATTTTTTGGTTTTCGAGAGACTATGAGAAATGTACCGACAATTTTATCAGATTCTTTCCAACGTATAGCTGTAATACAGTAAGCGGAGGACCTAATATCGTCGAACTAATTCAAATTGCCAAAGTATTCATAACGCTCAACTGTATTCCAACCTTCACAGTATGCAGCTAAATATTCCGTTAAGTGATTTAACCCTTATCTTCATAATTATCATTAGTAAGTAACGTGAACTTATGAAAATCACGTTCATTCAAACCTTACTCCAACCTTACCTGTCGCTAATAAAATCATCAACTGATATCATGCAACGTTAAATATTGATATACAGATCGGCGATAAAACGCAAGTATAAGGTAAAAAGTAAGGTAAGAATAGCAATGCGAATGTATCATTTCTATGTCTCTCTTTATTTGACCCGGTATCGATCGAGAGAAGAAATATTCGGGTCATGTCAGAAATGGACTTCCACCTGGCCTGTCGCGTCACACTCGTGTCACTTAATACCGACCTGAAAAATTCATTAAGCAACAAAAAACTATGATAGTTTGACCCAGGTTAGGCAGAATAGCGCTTAGTTACTACCGTATGACTTATCAGATGCATATCTTGAGTCTCCCGTCTGCCATTCTCGCAAACTTATGTACTTACTTCGTCTCCAATTTTACGTTAATCACATTTGGACCAGAAATATAAGCGGTCTACGAAAATATGAATCCAATAGGATATTGTGGCGCGAATCGTCCGAGAATTCTTTCCAAATACAAGGGATATGATGTACGCATTGAAAATCATTTCTTTGGAAATTGACCGCACATAATATCGATACCGATGTATCCGATCGATTCTTGCGTGGATTACCATAATTATCTTCAAGAAACTAGCGAAGTAACATACACAACGAAACGCGACAGGATATCCAAAGTATTGCGAGCGCCTTCTTTTAAAATATCAAAGTGTAAAATTGCGAAAAGTGCAAAATTCTTTATCGTGCGTAAATGTCAAATCATTATCCCACTGTCGCGCAAAAAACATTTCGCGGCCATGAACAATATACTAAGGAAAAAACACGCAGAGTGAAACGTAAAAGTACGAGTTGAGGGCAAAGGAACACATTACGCTTTCGTGCGACGACTTGTGAGAAAGAACATCGGAGTTTCTTCGATGGACACCTTAGAATTCTGTACTCCGAGGATACAGAACGCCTACACGCGTTCCACATAGTTCTGATACAGTAATTACGCCATATCCATGTAGACTGCTTACATTATTCCGCATTGAATCGGCTACAGAAAGCTATACTTACGTGGCGTGTAAGAGCGTGATCTGGAACGATCGTAGCGAGAACGCCGACGGTTGTAGTATGGGCTGGGTGAGCGACGGTAGCTTCCTCTGTAGTTGATTCTGATTTTTCACGGGATGCAAATGAAACAAACGAGAACAAGAGTTAGAATTGAAACTGAAGTCGGTTCGGGAAGCCGTACGGGGTTTATTTCGATAATTACTCTCTACGTCTGGGCCCATCCCAGCTTCTGTCGTGCAAATGCGTAGGTTTTCCCATGTATATTCCTGGCGTGGGAGTGTGAGCACGCTGCGTGATCGAGAAATCTACTCTTATTCGTCTGCCTTCGATGTCCATTCCACTACACTGCTCCTTCGCCACTTTGGCATCCTCCAATGATTCGAAATATACGAAGCAAAATCCTCGCGATCGACCAGTCTACAGTGGAAGTATTTCACGTATATTATTATTAGCAAATCAATTCTAACGTATATTATTTGGCAATATAACAATGATGGATAACATATAGTTGTATAGCCAGATGCCTTTAACGTGTCATATAAATCTCAGGTATAAACGTTCTATATCTCTGGCGTTTATTATCCCCACGATATTCAAATATAATCGTGCACGATAAATGCGCAATTATAAATACTAATGGGGTGCAATAGCAGATGATTTGATGCAATACCAGGTCTGTCCTTTTTTCCTAAACTGAACTCTAAGTGGACCTAAAATGCACTCTTCTCTTTTCTTCTTTCTTTCATCAGGTCTTAATTGCATATTTGTTTCTTTTTAAGTTCTCTAAGTTCTGTAAGTGTATACTAGTTCAGCAGAAAAGGACAGACCTATTGTATCATGTGTAACCAAATATAAACAACGTAAACAAACATAAAATATTTACATACCTTTGCATCGATAATAACCTGAACCCGTTCTACAGGACCATATTTTGAAAATATATGATGGATTTGTTGTTCTGTGGTGAAAATAGACAATCCGAAGATACCTAGGCATCTGGAGGGGCAAGGATTATCGCGGTTGCCGACGTGTCTTCGTCTGGATGACATTGGACTTCGCGAGTGAGATTGATACATATGTCGGTCGCGAGAATATCGAGATCGTGAATACGAACGAGATCTGCTGCGCGAGTAACGAGCACCTCTGTACGGAGAACGGCTGCGACTGCGGCTGCTACCGCGATTGCCAATGCTGGTATACTTGTTGCCACGATACGACTTACGGCCACGTGATACGGAACGACTACATGATCTTGAATATTTGACATCTCTGTGTAAATCCTTGTGTTCGCGCGACTTTCGTGATCTCGAGTGTGAGCGTGAGTCTCTTAGGCCACCATCATCCGCAGTCCTTGGTCTCCGAGGACTTGCGCTGCGACTATCACTCCTCTGTAAATCACCAAGCATTGTTGTACACTACCATCAAACAACACGTGATAATTAGTTCTCATTTAGCTCTGTATAAAAATCTAAATACAAGTGAGGGTCATTGATCAAGGAGTCTGTTTGCCGTTCCTGTACTGGCTGTACTAACTTGCACTAAGTTCTCTTTTTCTTTCTTTCTTACCAAACCTGAAGAAAGATATGAAAAGGAAACTAGTGCAAGCTAGTGGCAGCCAATATAGAAGCAGAAAGCAGACCTAATTATTCACAAACGGCTGACGTGCGAAAAGTTGATGAGTCGGTGCGAAGAACAGATGAAAGGGAACGTGGTGACGGATAAATGGGTGTCCTCGAGCGACGATAAAATCAAGTTACAAAAACGTTCGTCGCTTCTACCCGCCCCAATTATAGCCGAAATGAAAGGTAACGGGATAACATAATGCAACGGTGTTATTGCGTCGATAATGGCCGTGTTGAGGCGATACATCGTCAAAAATCGCTCAACAGGATATTACCGTCGTAACGTGCGACGGAATCAATTCGCGTCCAGAGTCCATAATAATCAAGCTCACCTCGATATCGCTCATCCTGAGATTCCCCGAGTGCTGATACGTGGAGGAAGACGGTAAAAGAGGCGACGGAAAGTATATATCCGACGGTCTCGCGTTTCGTATTGTCGATTGGTATGTTGTACAATATGGCGTGCCCCTCGCGGAAACACCGAACACGTGAACAGTATAGCGTGCAATACGCAACTGAATACCGTGGTGTCCGACGTTGCTGCGAAACCGACTCGTCGCGCTCTGCCATTGGACGGCGCACGTGACGTCTCATTGGTGAGTCCGTTGGCTCTCGAGTGTGGTGGCGCTGCAGACTGTGGCGGCGCTGCCGATCCTGCGAACTGTACGCCACTCGATTCGTTCTTTATTTCGCGGCTTCCGTTGTGATGTGCGCGATGATCGCGCGACGGTCAGCGGAGGGGAAAAAGTTGGACGGGAATGGCGACCTGTGTGCTGTACCGTTTGTAACGTTAGAACTGTGATAAGTGCGCGTACGAAGGACGTGCGTTTACGTGGGTCATGCGACGACTGACGCCAGGCGAAACGGTATCGGACATGTCAACGATGTGACAACCGGATTGGAAGGTACCTTACTGCCGTCGTACCGTTTCCGATTCAGGTGAGCGTCCGCAAACATCGCCGTACGCCGAGATCTATTTTCTTTCCTCCGTCGCGATATCCTTTCGCGAAGTAAAAATATCTCGGCACAGTTCGTCCTGGGTCCCAGTTGTGCGCGCTTCGTGTACTCGCTCACGCGCGTCGAGCGTTTTGAAATGTCGCGTGTACTTGGCCCCGTATCTCGCTTACTGTTTAACCTGCAGCTTACACGATGTCCCAATTTTTCCGAATGAACATGTACGTGCGAGATAATAACGGTTTTGGCTCGCGAAACGGTACAATTTTTCACACAATCGATAATACCTATTGGTTGTCATATTGATACGAGGTAAGTTACGAAAGAAAGTTACATTCATTCATCAACCTTGGATGTGACTTATTTTTCGTATTTTGAATGTTTGTAATTCAGAAACCAAAGATAAAATCGCCTATCTCTGTTGTCAGGATAGTGAAGTTTTAAAATTAAAATCCTCGTCGAGGTTAGGTTAGACAGTCAGTCTGTACCGATCATGCATTTTCAAATGTTATTTACTTCTTCCTCTCTTTGTAATGTATAATACAGATATTTTATGTAATACAGATTATCTTGACGATTTTAGAAATATCATAAGGAAATAATCAAATATAGTTCAGTGATCTTTATAGGTGAAAATGTCGTCTGAATACAGTCGAAGCGTTTTGAAAATGGTCGTTGCCTCAATATGCCAGACAGTAGGATGGCACTCTATCAATTCTACACCACTGGAGTTCATGGTAGATCTTATGCAGGAGTATCTGTTGCGTATCTCAAAACTCACGCATCAATATTCAGAAATTTGTAAGTAATCGATAAATGTACGATACATATTGTACAATTTAGTTTAATTCGATCGATAATCTTCCTCGAACTCTATATGTGTTTTTGAGTATTTTGTGTTTCTAACATGTATCGTCATCTTACAGTGGGGAGAACAGAGCCAAACCTCGATGACTTAGGATTAGCGTTTCGATATATGAATATTGATATACAGGAATTAGTCGAATATGTAAAAAATGTAGACTCCGTTCCATGCCCCGTACAAGTGCCACAATATCCGGTTCGGCGTGAGAATCATTTAAATTTTTTAAAACCGGGTAGCCGTGAAGTTGTTACTAGACCAGTGCATATACATGAACATCTACCAGCTATGTATCCAGATACCGAAGGTAATATTAGCTACATTATTGTCTCAAGGTAATATTAACTACACTAATTGTGCGACTGCAACATATAAGACATACAATTGTATTCATTTATACTAGATACATGTTTTATACTGGCAATATATGGTAATTGCAGAGGATTATGCAGTAGATAAGAGCGAAAGCTTAACTAATGGTACAACAGATCTTACGCCCAGTAGCGGAACATCATCGGGCAATTCAAACAACACCTCGCCTCACAGGTTGTCGCCGCAAGGGATTTTTAAGCGACCCGGGGACCCGATATCCTTCGAGAGTCCCATAGTGAAACGAGCGAAAGTTGTGGAGGAGGGCAGGCCATTGCGCGAAATAAGCAGCGTTATGATGACGACTTCCGGCTTTCTGTCGCCGGCGCGAGAAGGGAAACTACCTGAGGCGAGAACGCCGCATCAAGTTCGGGCGGACTCGCCGCAACCGAGCTCGTATCCGATGGTACCGCCTGAATTGAAATGCGAGAAGAAACCAAAGAAGGTTGTGAAGAAGGGCCCTGAGGATCGCAAACTCGACAAGGAGAACAAGAAGAAAAAAGGCGCGAAGGAGCTGTTCAAGCCGGATAAGATTGACGACAGTAAGATCAAGAAGTTAGTCGGCATGAAGGAGCTGGCTAAGCTGAAACCGTTGAAGCCAGGCGGCGGCAAGACGCAATCTGCCGCGCTTTCGCAAGAGCTTTCGGGTGGCAGGCCGTCTACGCCGAAGATCGCGTCGCCGAAGTCAGCCGGCAGCCCGAAGCCGTCGAAAGCCGCGCAGCCTAAAGTTAAGGCGACCGAGAAGGTGATAGACCTAACCGACAGCTCTCCGCCGATCGAGAAGAAAGAGGACACTGTTGACAAACTACCGTCGGAGCCGGACAAACAGAAGTTGAACATATTCAAGAAGATATCGAAACCGCGCGAGGAGAAGGACAAGGACAAGGAAACGGCGGCGGAAGTGCCGCACAAATACAAGGATCTCGATTCGCGCGAGTGCTCGCCGGCGTTGGTCATCGACGAGAACAACGAGAAGCAACAGCACGCGGCGCACCGTAATGACGTCACGGACGTGAAACGCATCGAGGAGAAGAAAGCGCCACACACGCCGGATTTACACACGCATCCAACTGACGGGGATCTGGTAGATGTGCAGAGTCCGTCGTCGGACGTTTACATGTTCGACGACACCGATATCTCACCGCCGGGTACGCCGAGCAGCACACCGAAAACTCCCGAGCTGAATGTGCCCACCGTCGTGGAGCAGAAACGGAAAAAGAAGGAGAAGACCGGCAAGAAGAAAGAGCCGAAGTTGAAAAGTCCAAAGCAGTGCGTCAGCCCGAAGAAGGTAAGACGTCTCGTTTATGTTATCATGCTATGCATGCCGTAAATATTAATCGCTTAAAGATCTATTGTCTGTGACGCGAAAGGTTTGACGGTAATTCAGAAACTGGAATTCGAAAGCTGTTCCACTTTAAAGGAGGTTGTAAGATGGAATGAGTTTGATAGAAATTCGCAGAAACTTTTATACGTGTCTACTTCAACTTTGTTTTAAATTAACATGTTTGATTTAGGCAATGAAATAAATACATAGGAATGTATTTTTTTCTTTTTTTGCTTGACAAGTACTAAATTTATGAGTGGGCCCCTTTGACGCGTTATTGAAAATACGGCACTAATTTAATTACATAGGCAATATATTCTTAAGGGCTGCTTACCGAAGAGCCTTATCATTTCTCATGTATCATTCCGAATATCGACAATCATCACCACTTTATTTCCTTTCTTCTTTTTTTCCAGACGAAGCTTCCGAACGACGTTGTAGAGTCGGACGTTCTAGATCGGCCGAAAACGCCGCAGGCACCGGAGCCACCGTTACACAGAGAGCCTAATCTCCCACCCACACTTCCCTTCCCCTTCTTTCCCGCGTTTCCGCCAGCACCTGGTTTAATACCTCCTCCGATGTTCTCGCGGTTCCCGTTACCTCTCGGCCGTGGTGGACCCGGCCTCCATCCGGCGATGCCCAATTTAGCGATACCGCCGCGTTTTCCCAATCCACCTATAAAGTCTGAGGACTTCCCGCTGTCCAAAATTAAACCTATAGAACGTGAGAAGCCGCTAATCCTACCGCCGCCTGTCGAATTAGTGTCTTCGTCGATCTTAAGCGAGAATGAAAAGGCGGATAAAGAGAAGGTGGATAATAATAAAATTACAAAGATGTTTAAGCCGAATAAAGAGTTGCCTTTCATGAAAGTACCTGAGAGGGTCATTGCACCGCTTCTAGCGTCTGCACCTATCGCACCACCACTCATGCTTTCTGCATCAACAGTACCCGCTGCGCAAATGTTACCATCGAAAAATCTCAAAGCTGAAAAAGCAGAGAAGAATGATACGATAAATTCGGTAGGATGTGACATCGTTAGATATCTTGTTTACGTAAATAGTGCTTCCTGAACAAATATTTTGAACAGAGTAATTAACTACGCACCATGACGTATCCACTTGTCTTCATCAGTAATATGTTATAATTATTACAGTATTATCTTTATCTGAATCAATCTGATATCGTAGCTTAATCAATTTGATATTGTTGCTATGTATTGCTCCTGTATATAGCGAATTGTAAATTTTACAGAAATCTAAGGAACATAAGAAGGAGAAGAAAGAGAAGTTAAAGAAAAAGAAAGATAAGAAGGAAAAGCATAAAGATAAAGGCGAAAAAGCGAAAGAGAAGAAGGAGAAAGCTGAAAAACGTGAAAAATTAGAAAAACTTAAAGAGAAGAAGGAGAAAAAAGAGAAGAAGAAGGAAAAGGATGCTAACAAAAAGAACACGGTACCGACATGGCTCATTGTTAGTGATAAGACGAAATGTCAACAATCAATGAGTATGTATCTATCATTACAGAAGGAAGATAAGAATCCAGAGGCTGTACCGAAAATTACATTAAAATTAGGGACTGCTTCTCCTAGACCAGCAACACCAGACAATGCTCCTATGAAGAAAATGTAAGTTTTTCACTCATTAATCATCATTATTTTTATTAACAATATATCGGGATATTAATATTTATTAACGGAATTAATATCGACATTTCTCATTAAATTTGATTATTTTCTTATGCACATTTTCTATGTATGTTTCCAATTGCTTGACAATTGTTGTAAGTCATTTTTTCTTTCAATGCAATTATTGAGACTTCTCTTTTATTTCTTTCCAGAACGATTAAACCACTTCTTCTGAAAAAGCCCGATGAAGAAGTCAAACGGGAATCTAGTCCAGAGTTGGCGAAAATATCAGCATTGGTGACACGTCCACCAAAGCAAAAGTCAACAAGTAAGAAAACAGAGGAGGGAATATTAGACGGAAGCCCTGCTCTTCCTACAGACTCTTTCTCTGCCAATCTTACTAGCGTGCCACCTGCATCAGCTCCTCGAACAAAGAAATCTATCTACCAAAGTGAGCCATTACCTTCACCTCACTTTGACCCCGTTCCTAAAATCCTGAACCCTCTAGTGATGCCACAACAACCACCATATTATTTTGTAAGTACATTTGTCACGATATTTATGCAATGGGAATTATTTAAATTTTTATTCGAGCTTAGAACTCGCGGAACATGTTATAAATATAAATAGCATATATTTCATGAAGAAAGATTTTGGCTGAATTAATTGAATTTTTCAAATCAAACAAGCTAGTGTGTATTCCTGGTGCGTTTTTGAAATGCCACCGCGGTTGAATAATAAAATTAGACGAGAAACGCTAAATCTTATTATATCACCGATGTAATCGAAAGCAGAAAACTCGACGTGTTTTACTCCTATGTAATCGCCAGAAAGTGCCAATTCAAAATCGTACATGGAATTCACATCAATTTCATCAGTTTGAGTCATTACAAAAAAAGAAAACAATTCTTATTTTTAATCTTTAACAAGATATAGAAATATATGGACAAAAAACTTATGCAAATAACTTTCAGAATAATAAATAAAGCAAATAAATGTGATGTAGACATCGCCTACATTTATATACGTAGAGTTTTCTAAATTATTGTTATGTAGACAGACCAATATTTGGGGGGGAAAGTTTAACGTAAATTGTTGCAGACATTCTTTCAATATTTTATTCTATAAGTGACGAACCCAACCCATCAATATTGTCTCAAGTATGAGCCTATCCAAAGATTCCACTTTCCTGTTCATTTTACGCTATGTATGCATTTAGGACTTGTGGTGACGGTATCATGTCTCCTTTTTTTTAATTAAAATATTTTTTTCATTTTCCGTTAAGCCATGCTTTTGGTATATTGTTACGTTGTCCAATTATAAATGTAGTACATTCTTATAGCTATATTTAGACTTGTATATTTTATGTTACAAATATCACTTTTTGCTCACTTTTTTAAAATCCAATATTCGTATTTCTGTTTCCAAAGTCGTATTGAGTCTTAAATATTTCTCCAGTTTCACTCACAAATTGAATCTTGAGCATTTACTTTACGATCCCGTTGAGAGATTATTCTATTTTTGATAATTACATATAGCAGATGTGATATATCGTATTACGAGCCACTATTTAATTTATATATTTCATAATATTTTTAGCGGGAAACGATATAATTATACTAGTTTTTTCCCGTAAAATTATATTTCACGATTTTGGATGTGAAAACCTTTTCTGAACAGCCGCATTTCAAGCGTGCCATTTATATATGCTGTTTGCAATATGCAAATACGATCCTATCTCTTCATTAAATAAATAATGTCCACTCATTATAGACTAATTCAGTCATGCATCTCCGAAATAAGGAAGCATTTATCCTCCTCATTTTATCATCCATGCATTTTACATAGATTAACTATGCACATCATATATACGCATACAATATGCAATATGCTACACTTGTCTCTTCTTATTATAAACTTGAACGATTAATATAGTATAATTATGTAAATAATATTCTAATGGATTTCACAAACAAATATTTACTTGCACCATAAACTTAACATTGAAAATTTCATAGAATATAAACACATAGCTTTTTATATATATGTCTACATATGTATATATGTAGGAAAAGCTATGTATTTACAGTTATATCGTTAATTATGCATTGAAAAGTATCTTTACAAATGTACAATTTATTTATCATTTTATCCATTGTCAGATACATATGAAAAAGTAAAGTATTAGCATCATTATCGTTAAAAAGATTATGTGTAATTAATGTATTACCACAAAAACCTGATATCGTTTATTTCAACTTCACTGTGAAAACTTTGATACATTCGTGAAATATCAGTTAACGGTGTATAGTTTACTCTCTCTCTCTCTCTCTTTTTCTCTCTAAGTATTTTACTACATTTTAAATGAAGTATGTGATTTCTGTTATAATATATCTCTTTTATGTTAGATAATAACATGCCCATGCTTTTCATTAATTTCTCTTCTCTATTTAGCAAGTGCAATCTCACATTAGTGTGTGTGCATAAATATATTCTTCACGTACGAATAGTTTCTAAGATACAATTAGAACTCTATGCGTCACCTCTGGATTTGCTGCTTGACTGTTTAACTGGTAGTATTAGAGCATGCATCTTATTAGTTACAATGTAACTAATATCAGTTACATGACTTTTCTACTTTCAAATCTCACGAAGTGGGAGGATTCGCTTTTGTCGAGAGATACGTGAATAAAAAGCATAGTTTTGCAAAGTTTAGTTTTTCACTTCATTGAAAATGTCTTCTAGTTTATACAATTCACCGATGTATATTAATCACACTAATAGATATCAGAGAGACTATCGAGAAAGCAATTTAGTAAACATATCTATAAATTTTTCTTTCTCTGTTTCTCTTTCTCTCTCTCTCTATATATATATAGATATAGACATATATACATATATAAAATGACGTAGAAGAGGACCGTTGCATGAGATTTGCACGTTGCATATAAATTTAGCATGAGAGTCCCGTTAGGAATATAACTGACGGTTTTAACGGTACAGAGGTGAAAGCAGATCCAGTTCCTAAAAAGGACGATGCTAAAGAAGACAAAGAGAATGGCAGGAATATGTTGCCTACAACACCAGCCACTACTGTGGTGAGTACGTCTTACACCCCTTTTAAACAACGTTGTTGTTTAAAAAAGGCATTCTTTACGCGTCGAGGGCATATCGCAGACTCTGGACTAGTTTTTGTACTTTATAATATGCTAGTTTTTGTAATACGATACATACGTCATACTATATTACAAAAATACGAACGTAGAGGAGCAGACGCGCTTGCTAGCTACTTTTTAAACGGAAACGATTTACATGTGAAGAATTAGAATATTATTCTAAAAAGACATACACACGACATACATATACACACCCTTCTATGATAAATTAATAGATACGTGTATGCGTATCGAAAATCAAAAAAAAGAAGAGACAAGTTCATCCAGCTCATGTGCTATCATAAATCATCGTTTCATTCGTATCTTGAGATATAATAGGAAGGATATTTGTATTCACATTCTTCTTTAGGATAATTTCAGTTTGAAAAAGAAATACTGCTGTAAAGTATACCAATTAAAGTGCTTTTGCATCGGTTATTTTTCTTTTTCCGAAAATGAAGATATCCGAAAAATAAGAATGCAACGTACATGTACTTTCTCTTACTGAGTAAGCTTGGATACATTTAAGACTCACGAGATTTTTTATAGTGATTCAATAAGATGTTGATATTCCGCTTATTATTACGATTCCTTTTATGGCGAGAATACTTATGGACAATATAACAAAATATCTCGATAAAAAGTTCACTGGTTAATCTCTATGTTGAAAGTCACAGCCAGTAAAGTAAACGAGAAACTTTAACATATTTTGGCATCTCAATGATCGCTCGGTACAATATAATCCCAGCAAACGATTCGAAATTCAAATTTTCCAATCAATATCATAGAACAAATTTTCGCCAAAGATGGGTTGGGTTTGATAAAGGCTCGCAAAGTTCGGCGTTTATCCTGAGATGAGTGTTGCAGGATCGAGTAGGTCGTCAGGTGTGGATATGTCCAGCATGCGGCAACCAGGATGATGGTTCGCCAATGATCGGCTGCGACGATTGTGACGCTTGGTATCATTGGTAAATAACTTGGTTGATTTCTTTTTAGTATCAAACATTACAATCAATCTGTTTGTCCACTGTGTTAAACATGATTCAAGTAATGTGTGAAAGTAATGTAATGTCCTCGATGTTTCAGGGTGTGCGTTGGAATGCAGGTGCCACCAGCTGATGACGAGGATTGGTACTGTCGTTTCTGCATAGCGAAAAAGCAGGAACTTCTTCACGATAAGAAGAAGAAGAAGCGGAAGAAGAAGGTGAAAGTAACGGCCTAGTATAAGCTAACCGGGTCTAATTGTGCAAGACCCGGTGTAACTATACCACCTACTACCAAAGTCAAAACGAAAGATAACAAGATCGGTGTTAAGAACGTGAAAACGAAGAAGATGTCTAAAAGCGATGTTAAAATGCAAATGAAGTCGTTGAAAGGAAAGCCGATGGCGAATAAAGCAAAGGCTACGAAGAGTATAGTGAAAGTGAAGACTGTAAAAAAGAAATAAAAACAAATTTTTACATCGTGCAATGCAACTTATTAGATAGCAGAAATCGTATTTTGTAAACTAGATAAGGCGAAAATGTAAACAATTCTCTTCTCTATGCCACTCCGATTCTGGGTATATCTTCAATTTTCTATTATATGTATGTGTGTGTCTAATATATATATATTACACACACACATACAACACACATATGTATGTATATATATATGTGTATGTACATAATGCATAAACAGACACAATCTCGCGCGTTGATTATTTACACTGGTGATTTATTATATAAATTACATTTATTACACGTAAATTTGTAGTATATTTTCTTAGATCTATTCGCAAGTCTTACATTTTCCCCTTATTGTTATGTATCGACAAACTTGATATAGGGGATACGTGGGAAAATATAAAATTATGTATCTATGTGACATTTCATTCGCGGATCGTCTTTCCGCCGGCAGGTACGGAGGTTCGCGGAACGATGTGATGTTGATTTGAAATCTGGCGCAAAAAATAATGATTGTTGTATGCAAAAATCGAAATAAAGAACATGCAGAAATAGCACAGCACGCAGAACAGTTTATGGGTTTATATATATACTATTTGCAGCATTCGAGTTCGAGCAAGCGACGCTCGCCAAAACGCAATGTATTACGGACACGCATCACAATTCAAACCAAACAGCTTGCACTACGTGCGGTGCGGCACGGTTCACACATGGAAGAAACGAACGCGTAAAGTGCGAGAAAAATTGCGTGCGAAGCGATGCCTCGATTGTGACACAACGATGTTGCAAAGCGGGTGCAAACGCAAAAGTAAGCGTTATGACAAGCGATCGTATAGCGAGGAGACTCGAGATTTTATTTAGCAAGTAGCGGACAAATACTGACTCGAATCCTTTCAATAGCACACTAGATTTAAGTCTTGCGGCTTCGCCGTCGAGACTTCGATTTTGTCCAAATAAGGCAATATTTCGAGCGCGAGCCGATCACCTGTTACGTTATTAACAGGTGACCGATACGCTTAAGACGAGCAACACGTGCGATACGCGTGATTTGCACATACCGATGTGCTCGCGAGTTTCGGACGATTCGAAACAATCTATTTTTAATGTACACACACATACACACACACATACACGTGTGTGTGTGTACATATATATGTAATACGATACAGATATGTAAATTAATATATTAATCATTGTTATTAGCAATGTAGGTAACACACTTCACTTTTTCGTTGTATATAAATTAATCATTAATGAGATGTATGACATGTGTATCAGTCTAGTTATCAGTTTATAAGTGAAATCCACGATGAAATATTTTGATAACAATTTTATTGCGTTATGTTATGCGTCACTCGCTTAATTTATACGTAGTAAATTGTAGTCGTATAATCGTTTTGCATGTGAAATATTGTCTTATACGTGGTATGATATGTAACGTTTACGAATCGTAAAGTCGATAAAGTATAATAAGCGAAATTGTATTTGTTAAATGAAGAACGCAGCAATAAGGCAGAAATAACAGCATCTAAAAGAAATTGTTGCATGAAACAAAAAAGTTGCATGTACTTTCATTCTTTACTTTCTTTTGTGGTCATCTCACTGCAGTGTTCCTTTTTCAAATTTATAGGAGATATTGTCTTGTATATTAATAAATAAAATATTTGTAGGGGATATATTAAACAAATTTAACTATGTTCAGTGGAAGTCGGCACTATATTAGCGTTTTGTGCTGTATCTCCAACAGTTGAAAAATTCTGCTGAACGTTCTTTCTGACGGTTACAAGTATTTACATTTTTCAACACGTTGCACTTATTAAGCATATCTTTAGTATGCTGGAACAAATGTTGATAGCTTAATAATCATGTTGGGAAACTGTAAATCGCTAAGTGGTGTTTATGCATTGTATTCATCGAGATATTTATTATTGTATAATTCACTTCTTTTGTACTTGAAGAGAGTGGCGTATGCGATAAATACAAATGTGTAAAGGTTTTATAATTATACAATTTATTATTTACATATGCATTTCTTTAATTATATGATCGTGCATATTATAAAATCCTCAATGTAGAAAGACATAATATAGATAAAAGGATTTTAGACTAGATCACATTACTCACGATCCAAATATGTTCGCAACATATCATATGTATGTAAACCTTGTTCATTCTGCATCACATATCCAGTCAAGATCGCATAGTATCAGTAAAATTTTGTTAAAGCAACATATTTGGCTTAAAATCAAGTTTTACGTGCGATCGAATTTTAAAGTTCACTTTTTCATGATCAGATTTCACGATTATTTTATTATGGTAACTACATATCCTGCATAGTCATCGTAATAAATTAACAGACTGTCGATCAAATAATTTTATTTAGATACTCCGAGGATTCGTGAACAATTCAATCTCGTATCGTACAGGATACGATCTACAACGACCAAGTATAATTATCTTGTCTATTATGAATCTCATTTTGCCAATTTCTATACGCGATTAATAAACGATACTTCTCTCGCGTTATAAATAATTTAAATAATATTCCGGCGCACGATAATACATTTAACACATATCGATTTTACTTTTCGTAGGTGGAGCATTGAGTCCACCGGTATCACCCGATTCGAGTTGTTTCAGAAGTCGGAATAACGCAGCGGCCTCCCTGATGCGACTAAATTCAATGCAGAACGCTTGCACTTCGATAAACAGCTCTTGCACGTTTATGATCTTGTTTCTTATCAAGGACTGCAGGAACACGCAAACCAGCCGTACGAGTCGGTTTTGCATGTAACGGTCCTTGATAGTCTCGCAAGTGGATATACAATTACTGATGTAAAGATGTACAAATTCCGTCGGTAGATCCACAGTGGTGGTTAATCTGTTCACGACTTCCATGGAGTGAAGGGACATCTCCATATTCACCAGCACGCTGAAGTACTCGGTGATCTGGCTGGACTGCATTAGCTTCAGTAAAACTTCGATAGCGATCAGAGGATTGTTCTCAACCAGATCCGGCAACTTGCCCGGTGTAAGTCCAATATGATAGACCAACTTCGGGTCTCTGTCCAACTCGTTCACCAAGTGCTGCTGTTGCTGCAGAGTCAGAACATTTTTGAAAGCCTTGCCCATCAGTTTACGAGCTTCCGCACCGGCGCAATTGGACACACACATGCTGGTGTCATACTCGATTGTAAACTGAGTTGGTTCTGTGACATCGAACCAGGGTAACTCGTTGATGGAATGATGAAGAGGCGGCGTCAGCCTCAAAAATTCAGGATGATAGCTCTGCCTGCATAAAGGTGGATCACCGGTCGTGAGTTTCTCCATCACGCTTCGCATGGCAGTCTTGTCGATCTCCGTCACTTTGGATTGATCCATATCTGGCAAAATTACAGGATGTCCACACTTGCTGACAGATGGCAGCTCGGAATGATGTTCCGCTAGTTGTAACTGCAAATTGGTTAAATCTATAGATGGCACGGAGGCGAAATAAAATTCGTCTACTATCTGACGTGGTGTTTTCTTCATGATCTCCTTTTGATTGTATCCTATTAAATTCACCAGCAGATTCTTCTCACAGGTGGACAAAAATGGTATGTGACCGGTGTGACTGGACGGCTTAGGGATCCCATTGCTGGTATCTTCCTGTGGCGTCTTTAGCATCTGAACAAACACAGGAGCGAAGGGTGTAGAGGCTAATGGCTCACCTTTGTACAGATTGAACAGTAGAGCTAAAGCTATGATGCGTTGAACATGCTTCGGTAGCAGATCGACATGTTGCAACAATAACAACAACGTGCTACCGACTTTGAAACGATCCTCCTTGGGGAAGCTCTGGTGCAACTGGTTGCACAGATTCTCCAGGGTGGTGTCCAAATGCTCCTCGTTGATGAGATCAAGTAGTTTAACCAAGTCCTTCGAAGGAAGCGTCATTTTCTTTACGCAGCAAATAAAACATTTGAAACAACACGCTTTCTTCCTGACGAAGTATCTTGCTTTTACTCCGTCGTCGTGATATATACGTCCTCATATATACGCAAACAGCAGCTGCGTTCCCTTTTATGTACCAATATCTCTCTACTTGTTCAGCAGGAAATCGTTCAAGCGAGTATGCAAACTCGTCTTGTTGATTTAATATGTATTCATTAATGAGTAAATTCACTCTTAAACATACCGATTTATACCTGTGCGTATACTTCCTTCGACGCTTGTCAAAACAGGTTACGGTCAACGAACGATCTCAGATTTACGGAAGCAGAGGTGGGCAAATTGATAGTGGAAGTAAATGGTGGCGGCTCGTAGCGGAAGTTACGAAATTCTCAAAGAGTACTTAGCGAGCTCTTGCATCTGATTGACGTTGTAACGTCCGGACTTATTTTGGAACATTAATAATATATTAGTACAGATCGGAGGCCGACTTGTCTGATTTCAGACATCACTAGGTTAGATATTCACTAGGTATAGATATTTTATCCCTATGTTACTAGACGTAAGTACGTGCGCGTATGTATATTCGCGCACGTTAAATATTATAATTAAAATTATAACGCCGAATACTGCGTGTCGTTAGAAAGTCTTAAAATCGATGGATCAACTATAGACAAAAGAAACCGCAATCTCTCAATGCGATAAGGCGCCCCGCTGCTAACATAAACAAGAGCATGAAAACTGAATCCAAACACCACTCAGGGCCGATACGGCGATATCGACGCGGTGACATCATACTGATAAAATGAATTTCTTCCATTTCCACGACTCCATCAGCCAATCAGAAAACAACAAAGCGACATATAAAAACGTGCTCATTCGTTGAGAAGGAGATTTTCTTTTCTCGCAATTAGCCTTTGGTACTTGTGTACTTATATACTTTGGAATATATTAGTCGTAAAATCCGACTGTGTAGCAATTACTTTTGTCTATCCCTCATTTCTTGAACGTTGCGAAATCGAAATTGGAATTGCGGGCCGCATCATCCCGCGCAGCGCCGGAACATCCGAGGCCGAGCCGGGAGAACGAGTGGCTCTGTTTTCTCACCAGATTCATCGATCGTTTCGCCAGACTCCGGAGACCCAGGGTAAACTCGGTAAAAAGCAGAGTGACCCAAAAGCGGAGTCATCATTCCGTTGACCGTCCACGTAAGTCACTGATTTTACTACTTTCAAATTTCCCTATATAGTTATCTATCGTGGACGTAACAATGTATATTTTTTAAACTAACAAAATATGTCAATCTCGTGCAGCTGAGTGGATATAAATAAATGCCAGCTGATAAGCTCGGTAGAACATTCGGTAGTACTGAATGCGTCCAATATTTCTTATTCCTTTCTTGTAGGGCCGATTGTTCCATCTTCTTGATAAGATTTACCCGACAGATATCTAGTAGGTAAACATCAATAGCTATTGTTGATTGGTCGGTCCAACAGATACCTGTCGGTTAAATCTTACTTAGAAGTTGGAACAATCGGCCCATGATGGCGCAACGATACCACATATTTCAGCTGCGTTCCAATATTCGCTGCCAGTGTTGAAAACTTATGATATACATAATATAAATTACACTAGCCTAAGAAAATCAACGTTTTTTTGCGGATGTAATGAAACTGAGTGATTCTTATTAATTTTTGCTTGCTGAATATCTAGGAAAAATCGTTGTGAAATGGAACCAAATGCATTTTAAAACAGCAGCAGCCAATCAGAACTCGTGCTGGTAGTAAGCAGTAGATAAAGTAGAAACTGTAAGAAACCGACTACCAGCACAAGTTCTGATTGGCCTTCTGTTTTCCTTCTTTCTGCTCTTATGTCAGCTGTGAATTCTCCCTAATACGGATTTTAAGCTAGCGCGCATGCGTGTGGAAAACACCAAATGACATCTGTAAATCTGTTCTTTGCAGCTGCACTTTCTGAACTATTTGTAATCTTTCCATTTCTCTCTTTCCTCCACCAAGTGGCAAATATATATATATATATATTTACTTCATTTTAAGTGCACACAATACAACTTATGCAGTTATGAACGGACCTTCTATTTTAGAGTGCTCTGAAACGTGCTGATAGTACAGAAAATTCATAGTATACGCGACGTGAACTATAGGTTTGCAGTGTTAGCAAATTTTGGAACGTGGCCCTCTTTTGTTCCTTCATCTCCGATTACTGATTGGTTCAAATGTAAAGCTTTTTCAAGAATAGAAGTAGATTATTCTAGAATAGTTATATACGTGTATGTATATGTGGAGACGATTGTACGCACGCGTCTTTTTCAGTACTTTCGAGCATCGAGTGTGACATACGTTATTGTTGCAGTTGTTTATAGGTCAGTGATAAGTAAAAACATCATTGTTCAATAAATCTCCTGTTGAGAAGAGAAAGTTCCCATGGAATGGAAAGGATTGCAAGCTGATATGACTCATAAACATAGGCAGCAGAATGGTTTTCCGGTCACACAACAATCGAACGATTGTTATTCGTCGATAATAATACATTTGGACGATGATAGTACATGGAATTTAATCGATCTTCCCGACGTTGTTTTAGAAACGATCTTATCTAACCTCACTTACGATGAGATTTCTAAAAATAGAATTGTAAGATTATATATTTAATTTATTTTACAACTGATTCATCATGATTATCGCTTTTATTATTGCTTATCATCGTTGTTTTTGCAACAGGTTTGTAAACAGTTCGACCGTACTTGCAAGAAGCTATTGAATCGAGGTTTCAATCTTATGGAAAAGTATCACGCGCAATGCCTTCGTGCTGTTAAGAGCAAGTTGCCAAGAAGGGAATCGGAACGAAGGAGTCATCCTCTCGCTCGCCACTGCGATATATTGACAGCGATAGAAACGAGAATTTCAATGTTATCAATGACTTTTAGCAAGTACGTGGAAACCAACGTGTGTTGCTTTATTCCAGGAAAGGTAAATGGTCCGTCTTGATTGCTAATAGAAATTATTCTCATTAATATAGTGAATATGCATAAACAATCTTCTTAACAGATACAATAATATATGTAATCATGAAAATAGTCACTGTATAATGTCAATTGTATAATTCCAGGTAATCGATGAAATTTTTCGTGTTCTTAGACTAATTCGTGACACAAAAACACCTCCCCGAGCACACGAGATACTTCAAGAGCTGCGGGATATAAGTAGTATGGCTATGGAGCATTTTGACGAAAAGATTCTGCCAGACCTGAAGCATAATATTTGTATGGTTGGCACTGTGAACTCGTACGAGTTACCTGGTGGCGCGCTCATGATCTCTCACACCAGGCACCCGAACAATGCTACACTGCCGCACAATTTTACTTCGGAGAAGCTTAATCAGAGTTTTAAGAAGATCTACGACCGTACGAAGCAGAACAAGATCTCCTGTTTAACGATGAAAAATCTGATGGGGAGGATAAAGCTCAAGGTGATGAGACAGGGCATGCAGATACGACTGCAAAGCTCGAAGTTGCAGAAGCAAGCGCAGAAGTTACACGAGCAGGACGTGCTGTTAGCGGAGATGCGGAAGCATCTCGAGGAATGGGAGCAGAAGATGGTCGACTTGACTGCCGAATTGAGCCGGGCGCGGGAGGGAACGCAAAATCCTGACTCGTTGGAAAGTCGCAAGCACATCGCGATCTCAAAACACATCGACATTATCAACACCGAGGTCGACGCGACGTTGCAAAGTAACGAGTTGCATTCGAAAAAACGTAAGCTCATAGTGGAAAGGAAGTCGTCGAGCGATGCGCAGGACATCAAGTTCAAAAAATTCATGTCGGATCTTCTTGCGACTAACACGTTAGACAGTGGTCACCCATCGACCTCGAGTAATTCGACTTTTTTACACTAAGCAGTATGTACGGAAATTTTTTCGAAATATGTATTGCATTGTATTGTACCCCTTTGTACGGGCTTGTCAACGGCATAGCGTAATAAGCGTAACGATTATGAGTCCCATATCCTCATTGAGGGCGGTATCAGAAGAAATGAATCTTACGGAACATAACAGGTTAAACTAATTTAATTGCTTACGTTCTGTATGCGCTTACGTGTTGTATGTGCTGTACGCGATAACTACACACAGTCCGCGGCGAGAATCCGGGATCCTTCATCAATATTTTGTACGATTGATAGAAGTAAAAACTCGCGGGAATTATCATAAAAAAGGATCTTACGAGGGATAGTGTGTTTAGTTAAATCAATCGCTTACATTCTACTGCGCGATATTGATTAATTAGGTTTATAGAGAAACCAACAGGCCTACTCTGTAATCTTGTAACCCATGGGGTTACGCATCATCGCGCAAGATATAACATATGATCAGCTGCGCAACGGCATTTAATGATAATCATATCGTCATTAAAAGTTACAGAATAAGCATACGGGAGCCTTTGAGTCTTTTACGCGATTGGTAGAATTTATTTTCGTCGGGAAAGATCTGAGAAGGGAAAACAATGTAAGTATCTTACGAGAAATAATATATTTAGTTAATTTAATTATTTGCGTTCCGTTACGCAATATCGATACGGTGTACAGACATTTTTGTGCAAATTTATAGCGTTTTACTGTAAGATTTCTACTCGCGATACAATTCTGCTGATATAAGGTACATGTAAGATAAATGCTGCATAAAATCCATTAAAAACGTTTATATCTGTGTGCATTTATTGAAGAGACGGAGCGAGAGAGTAAAGACAATAAACTACATGTCACAGTGAAATACACATAATAAACATTTCATTTGAACCAAATGTGCCAGTGTCGATTTAACGAAAGAGGAGACATCAGTGAATTTTACCGTGAGAAAGATGAAGATTTTATTTCGAGTATCAAGCGTGAGTCTTCCAACCTAATTTTGTTCGCTTTCTATCTTCGACGGCTGTTCATCGGTTGCTGGTTCTTCCATTCTGATAACTTGTTCCTGGTCAAATTTATCGCGGATCTTTTTACTCGCAATGAGTACGACGCAGAGAAGAAAAAAACTTTTCCCCTATGAAATTCTTCTGTCGCTAATTCATACATTTTAGGCGTTGCTAGACCTCCGTTCGTTTTCCTCTTTCGTATATTTCGCGTTCTAAATAATAATAATAATATTTTTACCCAAAAATAATCTACGTAAATGAATAAATAATCAATATCAATAACAATAAATACTTTCGGGACAAAATTTTTAGTAATTGCATTTATTACATACATCCCGCGTTACTTTCGTCCCTGGTTCTCCCTATGTTCTATCGAACGATATAATGACCGATTTTTTTAATACGTAAACATACGTAATAAATAGATAAATATAATGTAAAGATATATTATTATTATTATTATCAGATTTGCGTTTTATCGTGTGCATAGAGGTGAGACCTCTTGGCTCCAAACACCCTTTTTTTGCATGCGTGTAAAAATTTTGCATCATAACGCAAATTTGCATACAGATGAGACTCTGTGGTCTACGACTTCAAATTCCTCTTTTTTATAATGCGTTACAATGCAAGACATTATACAAGACACGTGCAAGTGTTGCAAAAGGAGGGAATTTTGGCATCACGGCGTCTCATTTTTATATAAACATCTATTCATATTGAGAGAATATGTATTACGTTCCATTACAGAAATGTTTCAAATAGGTGCTGTTACATCACATCCACAAGATGATCTTTCTATAATGTAGTAGAATTAACGAATTAGATAATCAACGATCGAAAACCGAAAAGATCAAGTATGTTACACCTATGTAATTTCTTTATTAGTCGATTAACGTATAACGTGATAAGCGGTCATTTTGGGTCAGAAAAGAATAATACTTTTATGCTATTTCAATCGATAATTATCCATTGTTCCTCTCATGCCGTAAGAAACATCTTTCCCCTTCGTAAATAGGCGAGAATTCGTGCGAGGATTTTCTTACCACCTGTCTATAAAATGCGATGTGCGTACAATAGTTATATGCTCAGTATATTTTAGTCAAGCCCGGTTTAGTCACGTTAGCTTAGTTCGGCGGAAGTAAAAAATCTTGATTCTTAGTACATACTTCATCATCAAATCCGTAAGTTTAGCTTTAAAAGCTCATTCAGTGGCTTCTAAATTCTGTGAAATTTATAAATTTAAAGTCAGATTATAAAGATATTCTTACGCTCCTCGGGAAAAAAAAGATCATATATGAAATTTCCTCATATACGACAATGTATAATTATATATGTCCACGAAAAATACTGTTGTTCATAAATTATATGCAAATACAATCGGAGTAAATGCTTATTTCAAAAATAATAAACATTTAAACTTTAAAGTAGAGTGCATTCAAGCTAATGATAAAACCACAAATTAAATAAAAGACTTCATAGTTTTTCTTGTCTTTTTTTACTTTATTAAATGTTCGAACTGTTGACTATTCACATTTTTTGTTTTTTATCAGTCCATCAGTGTGAAGGTTTGGAAGGGATAGCCCGGGAAGAATCTAGGCATGTGCCCACTGAGTACTCGGCACAGAGAATAAAAAAGACTCTTTTATTATTCTTTTATTACTCTTTTACTACTCTTTTAGTAGAAAAACACTCGAACGATGCAGCTCCAACGGCGGGTTAGTCTCCACTGTTCTCCTGCCGTACAGCGACAAAAGACTAGCTCGCCGGCGTGTGGTGGGGGGCGAGCTCGCATGCAAGCGAGATAAAGTATAGCCGCCACATCACAATTTATCAATTTAGAGTTCAAGATGTTCTCGAGTGCGGTATTAATAATCTTGGTATGTGTTGGAATTACCTATCTCATCTCGATTTATCGCAAGCGGCTGCCTTTCATTCGAGCGGGAAACGCTTTACCAGGCCCAAAAACGCAACCGATTATTGGGAATGCCTACTATTTCATGCAGAAAGATATTAACAGTAATATTATCGTAGAATTCACTGTTCTGTTTCGATATTGTTCCATACTCAAGATTTTCTTCCTTCGCTTTAATAGAGTAAAGAAAAATACCGAATGAATTTCGCGCGCACTTCACACTAAATTATTAATTAAATACACAGTACATTTAATTAAGTACACAGACACTTGTTTTATAGTAATATACTTCTGAAGCATGTGAAATTTTCAGAATTATTGCACAATTTATGCTCGCTTATGTATATTTATCCGTCTCCGTTTCGATTATGGATAGGCAACAACTTACTTATTTTCATAACCGAACCAGATCACATAAAGGTAAAATTTTAATACTTATATTTATTATTTACTAATTTATTCATAAATGGATGAATGAATAGTGATTGGTCAATTCTTGGTTTAATATTTTGACTGCCACGTTGGTCATATATGACCCGCCACGGTTTCTCCTGTGACGTCACGGTGGTCACGTGGCGTCCTGAGCGAAACATGTTATTCGGCGTGGCAGTCAAAGTGTTAATTTCTTAAGATTTACGCCTTAACGACTGATCACGACTGATTGCAAATTGGCAGGGTTGGGAAATGACGCATTACAAGTAAAGCGGGGTCTACAATGAGAATTTAAGGCGTAAATCTTAAGAAATTAACACTTTGACTGCCACGCCGAATAACATGTTTCGCTCAGGACGCCACGTGACCACCGTGGCGTCACAGGAGAAACCGTGGCGGGTCATATATGACCAACGTGGCAGTCAAAGTGTTAAACCAAGAATTGACTAATCACGATCGAATATGAAGAGAATAATAGGCTGTGATTGGTCAATTACAAATTGATTACAAACCATAGCTATTGTGCTCTTGGCTATATTGACAGTCAATTATTATCATTTTTAATATGTGTTTTAATTACGGGAATACTGATTACAATGAAAACAATAACATAACAGAGATATTAATGCATTTGTCTTATATATTGTAGACGATTCTTCAAAGTTCGAGTTGCTTGAATAAAGCTATAATGTATAAACCTTTCAAAAATGTACTAGGAACAGGAGTGTTTACAGCACCTGGTAAGACCTTGTAAAAACCACACATTTCTCTGTGACATGCCTATTCACACAACGTAATGTGTGCATTACGAAAGATATATCTCAGTAAGCGAGAAACATTAAATCAATATTTTGAAACACTGATTTTATGAGGATTTTATAAACATTTGTAAAATATTATGTCACAATGTTTATAAAATCCACATGAAATCAATGTTTCAAAAGGTTGACTTAACTGAAATTAATACAAGGCATTACATGCAACACAGATTTAACAAAGTTGCTCTCTCTCTCTCTCTCTCTCTCTCTCTCTCTCTCTCTCTCTCTCATAGAGATGTATATAATATTTACATGATTTATTAATAGAATATTATATTAATATGTGGTAAAGGTGTTCATCCTCTCTGCTTAATATTTAATTATAATATTCATTTTTCCTCAGCGTCTATATGGGTCGGACATCGAAAAATTATAGCATCAAGCTTCAATACAAACATATTACGTATATTTTGTGATACATTTGTGGAAGAAGCTTCAATACTTATGGACAAATTAGGACATTTAGTAGGAGATGAAGTTGATCTATTTGATTATATATTATTGTGCACTTTGGATATTATTTGCGGTAAGGTGGAAGGAATATTCAATTTTAATTTGTTTAAAAATTGTCTGTATGTGTCTTAACCTCTTCATTACAAATGTGTAAACTATATTGTCCGAGATTATGAATAATATATTTTATCATATATATTCAGTATATATATATATAACATAAAAGATGACAAATTTGACTTTTTCATACGACACCTTGAAGGTACTTCGTTGGGTATTAAGATGGAATATCAATCAAACAAAAATCGGTTGCTCATTGAAGCATTGCAAAGGTATGATTTCTTTCTGAGTTTAAATTCTTGCAATTAATACGCGCTATATTCACACAAATGGATCTAATTTAATGAGTTGCAATGTCTATTTTTAGAACGAAAGAAATAATTATATCCAGAATACGGAATGTATTTTTATTTTCCGATATTATATTCAATCTTACCCCTTTATGTCGCGAGCAACAAAAGCATGTAAATTACGGGAATTCTGTCACGGGAAAGGTAGATATTGCAAATACATTTTCTAACAATTGTCTTGAATATTATATTATCTATTACTATGCAGATAATACAACAAAAGGAAGAAGCGAGAAATAATTTGGATGTTACTAAGAGCGAATGCGCAAAGCCTTGTAAGTTGTTAATGTCTTACTTGTATGTTATTATGTGATGTGTTCCTGCGGTTAATATTGTAATGCTATAATATGTAAAAATTGCATAAATATCGAGTATTTTATATTTTAAGATAAGTGCGCATACAAAGTTTTACTTCTTTTTCTTCTTTTTTATTTAAATACGTTATTTAGAGAGAGAGAGAGAGAGAGTGAAAGAGAGAGAGAGAGATTATTTTGTATATTTCTTTGTTCAAATAAAATAGCTAGAAAGGTGTTTCTCGATATACTAATGGAAGCATCTAACGAAGGCAAGAAATTCACTCGAAAAGGCATTATCGATGAAGTCAATACATTGACCGCAGCGGTATGTATTTTGATATTTGTTGAGAGTTATACAATCGTTTCCGTGTAATGTGTTAATGAAATCGCAGAACTGATAGAAACGAATTTTTATCTACGCAGGGTTCCGACTCAACCGCAATCACAATGAATTTTACGATATTTATGATAGCAAATTTCCCAGAAATACAAGTACGTAATTCTACTCTACGTTATTAAAATCTCTGTAATTTAAGTATTCAAAATCATTAGGCATTAGTAATAAAATTACTGAGGTACAGTCTGGCTAGTCGATAATATTCAGCAAGGGCTTTAGTTATTTAGTGTGATAATTTATATGTTTTGACAAAATATTTTGGCTCTAAAATAAATTAATATGTAACTTTGTAAAAGAAAAAAGTATACGACGAGCTGCTGGAAATTTACGGTACGCAAGATCCAAAATCCGCACCTGTCAAGTTCGACGATTTGCAATATATGAATTATCTGGAGTGTGTTATTAAGGAAACATTGAGAGTCTTTCCCACTGTGCCTATCGTAGGACGACGCCTTACTGAAGATTTAATACTAGGTTTGTTTAAAAACGTAGTCGTATAGTGAACATAATATACAACAAAATGTATAGTTTTTATGTAATAGTATTCTAGTTATCGAGAATATTTTTCTTTTTGTACAATAAGACATGGATTTATATACTGTTTGACGATTTATCATATCATATCATGCGCACAGCTCACTTTATCCGAGAACATTCTGTGAACGTCCTTAGGATATAGAACATCCTCTGGACGTATTTAGGACCTCCCTGGAGATAAGGGGTATTGATATATAGAAAAATATGTTTCAGGGGGACATACTTTGCCGCAAGGCGCCGATGCTATCATAACAACGTTAGCTTTGCACCGAAACGAAAAGTATTGGCCGAATGCGTTGACGTTCGATCCAGATAGATTTCTTCCGGAGAACATGACGAATATTCACCCGTATTCTTACATACCGTTCAGTAACGGTCCAAGGAATTGTATAGGTATACATACATATTTATAGCATAAATAAATTTAAACGCGTGAAACGCGGTGAAACATGCGATTAATCGGTTATATTGCAGGTGTAAGGTATGCGATGGCTTCTATGAAAATCATCATAGCTACTTTATTGCGTACGTACACATTGAAAGTAGATAAGAAAATGGAAATCGATCAAATAGAAGTGCATATGGATATTATGTTAGCGCCCTTACATCCTTTGAAAGTCAGAATTGAAAAGAGAAGTTTTGACTGCACAACAATGCCGACATAACATATCAACAGATGAAAATGATATTTTGTACTTTCCGATAGTAATTTTTAGATAGTAGACAATCCATGTCTCTTGATTTTCGAACGTTCTCGAATGTTCGGAAGTCTCCGGAATTTTTCTTTCAATTTATTCTCCATGATTACATTTCGAATGCGTCCGTTGCTCACCCGGACAAGAACTGCCGACAAACCGAATCGTTGATGTTTTTAATATAACACTCGCTTTTAATTACATATTTATGATGTGATTTACTATATGTGATCTATTTATTCATTTGGATGATTATTTGGATAATTTTACCTAGATATCGGCAAATATTGATCGTTATATATTGTATGTAATAACTAAATATGTAAAGTCAAACAGTTTGATGCGCAGAGTGCAAAGATTGTTATGTAGAGAAATAAAATACCATTTAAATTTTCTTTCGTTCAGGTTAATAAAGGATGGTACAATTTTTTTTGTATTGATGTATATTAATTTTAGTTAATTATTTATTCACAATTTCCCATGTAGTATATTACAATTCAGATATGATCTTCATGTGATTCATTATTGTAAAAGATGAACCCCGGAAAAAAGATCATACATGAAATTTGCCCATATGTGACTATATATATATATATATATATATAATTGAATTGTACACATATGATAATATAAATTGTATAAATATGATGAATAAATTCATTCGTTCG